AGGGGGGAGGAACTGGGGAGAAAGAAGGCTTTTTGGGGGGGGGGGGCTGGGAGGGCCCGCCCCCCGCGCCTCTGGAACAAAGCCGAAACTGACTGTCCCACGGAGGCTCTGCTGGCTCTGGGCGAGCTGCCCGGGAGGGGGGGGGGGGGGGGGGGGGGGAGGGAGGGGGGAAGGGCTGGCTGAGTGCTGGGGAGCAGAGTGGGTTCCCCTCACTTGCACCCGAGAAAGGGGCGGGGCTGCCAAGAGGAAGGATGGAATGACTGGGCACAGCTGCAGAGCAGAAGCCTCCTCCAAGGCGTGGGCAGGATGCTTCTCTGTCCTGAAGAGCCCCCCCACCCCCAAAGTGGCCTTCCTGCTGATCCCCACAGGTCCCTTCTAAGAACAGGTGGCATCTGGGCACTGCCAGTGGCTTGCAACGGCTGCACCCCATCGTGGCCCTGAGGATGCATTCCGGCACATCTGGGATCAACAGGCCTCCTCCCAGGATTGAAGTGAGCCCCCAGATCAGTCCCTCTGAAGCTTCCAGCAATTACCTCCCCTCCAGCGTGGCTGCCTGGAGAAAGTAGCCCACCCGACTGACTGGAGAATCACCCCACTAGAGCAGACCACCAGCAGATGCCCTCCAGACGTGCTGAACTTAACTCCCAGAATCCCCCTGGCCTTGCTGGATATGCAGGGCACCAGGTTGGGAGTTACCTGGGGCCTCAAGATGGAGGCAAGGCAAGCCGCAATCCAGAAGCCACACCCCCGAACCAGCTCTCGAGGACCCCCCACCTTGCATCAAACATCAGGTAGGACCCTGTCCCCAGGAGGATCCTCACTAACAGAAGCCATTTGTGGGTAGACCCGCTTGGCTTCCCCCACGCCCTCCCACAGCCCTGTGTGCCCACAGCTAGAGGTGAACTGAGATGCCCCGAAACTGCCCAGGTTGCAAGGTGGCTTTGCAGGAGCCAAGAAAGATGCCTCCCTGGCAGGGAATCTCCGTTACCCTTGGGGAAAGGAGGAACAGCTGGAGTGGCCCAGGATGGGCCCTAAGCTGGCCGGGATGAGCCGAGGAAATGTTATCCGGAGCTTGATCCGGCTGAAAGGGTCAGAGGCCGTGAGCAAACCTGGCTCCGTGGCAAACCCGAAGAACAGGTTCTGTCCTGAGCCTGAGCGAATCCAGGCCAGAAGAGGAGGCAGCCTCTGGCACCTCCTCACTGCTCAGCCCAGGGCCGGCGGCCTGCAAGAGGCAAGGGAAGCACGGGGAGCCGGGTCCCTCCAGAACTCACGGAGCTGAGAGGTGCCCTCCGGAGCCTCCTCCTGGGGGGCAGCTGGTCTCTGCGCACAGCAGGGGGGGAGGGAGAGCCCCAGAGAGCCTCCCGCCTGCAGAAAAGGAGGGGGTCAAGCGCAGAGCAGCTCGGCAGCAGTGCGGATCCCTTGGGGGTGGGCTGGGAAGAATCGCCCCGCAGCTTCGCAAGCAAAGGCCGGGCAGCAGAGCCGGTCTGAAGCTCCCTTGCTCCCCCGAGCAGCTGCTCAGGGTGACGGGTGACAGCTCTCCCGCTGGAAAGCCCGGGCAGGTCAGAGCAGGAGGCGGGCGCAACCCCAGGCATCACCTGCTGGGTCGGCTTTCCAGCCCAGCCAGCCGGGCCAGGCGGTATCAGCAGCCGCCAGCAATGCTTCAGGCGCAGGACGAGGAGGGGCGGGACCATATGACCCACAGAGCGTCCCTTCTGGGATGTTTGTTCAGAATGGCACCCGAGAGGAATCGAGGAACCTCCAGATCAGTCTCTCTGATCCGGAGGTGCAGCAGCAGCGCGACTCCGGAGGGCAGAGTTGAGGGTCCTGTGCTGGCCAGCCCCACGCCCTTACCCTCGCTGGCCGCCCTGCTCTGCTGTCCCACTTCTACTGCCGCAGGAACAGTGAGTCCCCAGGTTTCTGCGCGGGAAGGGAGAGGGCCGCGTCTCGTTCTTGCTCCTAAGGAAGCAGGTGTCAGCGCTACAGAGGAGAGCTCCCGCAGGCATCTGGACACAGTGCAAGTATCGGGGGCTCGTGCAACCCCTCCAGAGGATTCTACAACGTGCGAGGATGCCAGCTGTTGGGGGGGTTGATGGGATATGCCTCCCAAACCATACAACACTTCCAAAGCATTCCAGCTTCTGGCTGTGCGATTGGTGCAAAAAATAAAAAATAAAATCACGGTTTAAATGTCCAATTGCCCACATGGACTGTTACGGGCTGAAAAAGATTTCAGAATCCGTCTCGCAGTCTGTTTGGCTGGGAAAGACACCAGGCCTCTAAACAGCTCCAAAAAAGAGGGTGCCCACGGTCCCCACTTGGCCACGCCACAAGACTGGAGCGGAGTACCCTCCCAGGGCATTTGAGGCAAGCCTTCCCAAGTTGCCTCTGGCCACTGGCACATTCCTCCTCACCTGGGGCCCCCAACACCACCTCCAGCCTGCTTTGGCTCTGAGCAACCACATCTCCCAGCAGATCCAGAACCCGAGGCTCCCTGGGTTCTTCTGCGCTGACCGGAACAAAGCGGAACGCTCCCAGGTGGAACTCTTGGGGGGCCCCGACCAGGCCAGGAGCAGCGCAGGCGGCCGGGAAAGGCTGGCTTCTCTGTTCCCTTATGAAAGACAGGCAGATCTTTTGACATTCTGCAGCAGGGCGTCCACCAGGAACAGGGGAGGGGTCAAAAAGGTCAAGACAGCAGCCGTGACTGAAGCCCGTGGCTTCATTAAAATGGGCAGGGCTTTGACCTTGCAGTTGTGGCCTCCATCCCCAGATGCCCCTGGTTTGGACTTTGCTTGGGAAAAGCTACTACCAGCTACTTACGTTCAGTGACAGCCCTAGGGGCTCTCACTACTTAACAAACACCCATGCCTGTAGAAAGGAGGTGAGAACCCCACCCCCACCCCCAAACACATTTCCATCCTTGACACTGGAAGAGCTTCTGTCAAAGTGGGGACCAAGATGCCAAGATCTGGGGGACAAGATCCTTAGACAGGGCATCTTCAGTGCTGCCTCCTCACCTGGATGAGGTGAGGTAACCGTAGGCTGAATCTGATACTCTCAGACCTTCTGTGCTAAGCCCTCTGGGGCACGATGGTAGGTACAAGGTAGCTCTCCCTCCCACTCCCCCAAATGCCTTTCCACCTCAGGAGCTCAGCCAGTTAAATCCTTGGCCAAAGGCCACCCAAGTTCCCACGCCTGCAGCTGCCCCCTGAGAAGCAAAGCCCTTCTGATAAGCCCCTCAGCCCTGCCTCGCCAGCTGCCTGTTCATGGGTGCGGAATAGGCTAAGCATGTCCTCCAGGAGAGATAAGATGATGGAAAAGCCTCAGCTGAATCCCTGTTGTGGGACAAGCTGCCCTTAAAGGAACGGTGGGAGGACTTAGCATGTGGGAGGAGAGTCCAGGAGCCTCAGTGCCCTGAGGGCAATGCTGGCTGGGAACAGAAGAGCCAATAATGGTACATTTCAGCAACTGATGATGGCTTAGGCTGGGAGAAAGAGAGGATCTCCTCCAAAATCAGCACATTAATCCAGAACCCCAGGGAGGCCTGGATTTCTCTCCCTCATGCTAGGGGTCAACGTGGCTCTCACCCAACTGTGCCCAGTCTTCTGTGCCAGGTGGACAGATGTCACCAGGTCTTGGTTGTGGCCTGGGCTTGGCCAGAGAAGTCAGCCTTCTGCTTGCCTTGCTGGTGACTCTTCTGCCTCTCTTCCACAGGCGTAGGCTTGCAGATAACACATGCCGGCCTCCCTAAACCTCTTTCTTCCACTCTCAGTTTTACCCAAAGGGACTGAATGGTGAGAGGCTCAGGGATGTTTAAGAAACAAATGGTCCCCCCACATCCCACCATCAGACTGTAGGTTTGCTCCGGAAAGACAGTGATGGCCACCAGCCCAGGCAGCTCTCACTCCTTAGCAGTGTTGAGCCAAGTTGGGGCTCCCGGGGGGGGGAGACACAACACTGCTTGCCAGGCCAAGGCTCTCGGGGGGGGGCTGGCACCCTCTTCTGCTTGAGCGCTTTCCACAGGCAACCTTGTTTGCCCTCTGGAAGCTGGGTGTGGGGCAAGAGGAGCCCTGTGCTGCTGCCTGGGAGCAGAGCTGGTCAGTCCTACCTTTGGCCCTCCCGGGGCTGTGCTCTCCCCCAAAGGGCGGACCGCCAGAAGCCCTCACAGAGCCCCTGCGAGGAGCTTCTCTGAAAAACAATCCAGGGCGTTCAGGGGTTGGCCTATCAGCCTGACGCCGCTGCCTCCACTCCTGGGCCATTGGTGATAAGGCAGTGGTGGAGCAAGACGGTCCTTGCCCAGCAGCCGCGCGAGCTTCCCACCCCACGCCCAGCTGCCATTCCGGGGCTTGTGGCTGCCGCGCAAGAGGGCCGAGGGGCTGAGCGCTGTCTGGATGGTTTCACTCGCTTCCCCGAGACTCATTCTCACAGCCGCTTTGCCTCTATCCTGGAGCTGGCAGGAAATCATGCAGCCCTAAAACTTGCCACCCCCGCCCTGTGTGCTTATCGTGCCCTCAGAAGGGGCCGGTGCTGGGCCGCTACCCCCACAGCTAGCACGCAACGTTTGTGTTCCTGCGGCTCCCTGAGCTCAGTTCTTCATGTCATGTCTCCACGGGGTAAGACCACCTGCTGCAAACCCCACCCTCCCCGCCCTGGTGAGGCTACCTAGCGGGCAATGAAGAGCACCAGGGACTCCAGTTGCACCCTGAGCTCCGTCTCTTCTTTCCTGTTGGGAACACACAACGGCCCAAGGCCGTGGCTGACGGTTCCCTTGGCCAAAACTCCAGCCCCGCCCAGCGCCACGCAACGCATGAAAAGCCTCTTCCCGTGGGCAGGCACAATGCTCTGGTTATTCCACGCACTGCGATCCTTTCTTTCCCATTGTAAGGTGACCAAGTGAACTTTTTTAATTCATTGAAACTATGGGTCAACTAGTCGACCTATTGACCTCCGTGGTCATTTGGATTTGTGCAGAGATGGGAATGGGGTTTAGTTGTGGGGACGAGCGTGGGAGCTATCAAATATTCGAAGGAGAGGAAGTAGGGAGGCAGGGCTCCTCTGGGAGCAGGGGCAACTGGGAATGTCACGTCTTGCCGGAAGGACAAGAGCTGAGTCCTTTCAATTACATGCAGGCACAGTCTGGTCAGTTTCGGGGGGTTGCCCTCTCTAGGTGGGCCACCCGATCAGTCAACAAACCCATTGAGAAAAGGGGCTATGCAGTTCCAGCTCCCTGGTTCCCACCAGAGGACGGAAGGGCAGGCCGAGAGGACAGAGACCACCCTGAAGGGGAAACCAACAGAACCAGCTGGAGCCAGAAGGAGCCCCAACAGGCCACTTCCCCAGTGCCCATCAGTGCACTTCACAGCGTTGTGAGGTGGGGTATTAGGGAAAGCACAGCCCCTTCAGCCCCTCCTGGGTGGCTCAGCTGCAGGACCCCGAGACACGGCAGAAGCAGGTGGACGTGAAGAGGTCTGTGGGCCATCCTCATGCCAGAGCAAGGAGAAGGGGTAGGTTTGCTCAAGATCAGCCTTCCTTCCCAAGCTGGTGTCCTCCAGATACCTTGGACTACAATTGCTATCAGCCTTGGCCCTTGGCTGTGTTGCCAAGGCAGAGAGCCATGTAACTCTGTGTAGTTAATCACACGTGGGGGAAGGCTAGAGGGGGTCTTAGATAAGTTTGCCCGCACCCAGCAGGAAAAAAATCTGCCCTACCCAGATCAATCTGAAGAACGCCGTCCTAAGCACCCTTTTGAAGGGCAGCCAGGCAGCTGCTTCAACCTGACACCCTCCATCAGACTGTGGGACTTGGTTTCCTAACCCTGGTCCTTCAATCTCCCTGGTCCGCAGTCAGCCACTCGCTGTCCTGGGGCCGAGCGGTGACTCCTCCTGATCTGCACCACGCTGCATTACTGTTGATGCAGCCACAGACTGCGTTTGCTTCTTTTACAGCCACATCGCACTGTTGGCTCTTGTGCAACTCGTGACCCACCACAGCCTCCTAGAACCCTTTCACTCAGCGTGCCTCCTCCCCTGCTGCATCCAGTACTTTGCCCTTGATTTCTTCTACTCAAAGACGGAGCTTTGCCTTCCTCCCAGAGAGCCACCTCGCTGGTTTGTTCCACCAGACTGTCCTCCATCCCCTCCTCCCTTCCTTTGTGTCATGACTTGTTTTTCAGCCTCTCATCCGAGTCATTAAGAAATGTATGGAACAGGGCAGGGCCTAGAAGGAAGCCCTGCAGAACGCCCCACCCTGACACGAAGCCCCTGGCCTACGCGTGACGGGTATGACTGTTCAACCAGCTCCCGTCTCCTGCCCACATTCAGCATCTTCTCTGCTAGTATCCCATGGGTGTGGAGTGTTTGGCTGAAGTTAAGACAGACTGTGTCTACATTCCCCTGATCAGCTAAACCGGTCACCTGGTCTAAAAAGGAGACCCCACTAGTTTGCCACTATGTACTTGTTCCTGAGAAGCTCCCGCCAAGCAATTCATTCCTTGTTAAATGCTTAGAAACCAACTGCTTAATCCTCCATTCCAGAGCACTGCCCAGATCAACATTAAGCTGACCTGCCTGGGCTTCCCCAGGTTCTCCTTCTTCATTTTCTGAAGGCAGGAACTTTTGTCCTTCTCCGATCCTCGTCCTCCATGATTTCTCCAGAAGGGGCTCCAGAATGACATCTGCAAGCTCCTTCAAGACTTGATTGTAACTCACCTGGTTCTGGGACTTAAACTCATTCATGGCAGCCGGGGGCTTCGTACCATCTCTACTTCCTCAAGCTGGCACTCCCTCCATTTCTCAGTTGTTCTCCTTTGGCTTATTGGGGGGAGTCCCCCTTATGGGGGGAGTCACAACATAGGAACGCTGCTCTCTCCTCCCCATCTTCCTTCCATCTTCTTCAAGCGGTGAGCCCACCCCTTCTTACATAGCCCCACAGCCCTTAAATCAACTTTAGCTTCTCTTGTTTCTCCAGGCTAAGCTCTTTGGGGCCTCTAGCTTTCTGATTTTCCTTCAGCAGATGTTAGCCTCCTGAGCTGCTCCAGACATATAATGATCTTCCAGGATCTTATTTCTGAGACGTTCCCGAGCCTCCCTTTGGTCGACATGTCTTTCTGTAACATCCTGAGCCCCAAGGTGACACAGTCACTTCCTCCCAGGTCCCCACTGCCTTTACCTCTTCAACCAGCTCTTCTCTGTTGGTTAGGATCAGATCTCGGAGAGCCCCTTGCCTCTACTTCAATCTTCTGGAAAACGAAACAATCACCAAGACAGCTGAGGAATCTGCAGGACCTCAGCCTTGGCCAGGTTGGCTTTCCCAAAAGATGTCTGGATGAAATCTCCCATTTTTGTTCCGGCTCTCCTCCCTGAAAGTTCTCCAACAGGGTCCAGGAGGACTTTGCCCAGATCTTCTGCCTACAGCAACTGCCCACAACGATCTGCATAGCTTTCCTCCCTCACATGTGCTTACTCACGTTTTCTTGTCTGGACCCTTAAAATCCTAAAGCACAGTTCAAAGTGTAATAATAAAAAAGCCTGATACAGCACTTATCTTTTTAAAAGTTTTAAATAAGCAACCTGTCTCTTACGCCTTTAGGTTCCCTCCCACCTATCTTTCTTCAGAAGCTCCTGAGCCAGCATCATCCAGCGATAGGGTCACTGCAGC